GTAGGCACCTCCCAGGGACTAACAGAGGCACCCATGAAGGCAGATGTGCCCTTGATTTAGCAGCAGGACCTTTTCAAGAAAGAAAACGTGATACAAGAGAAACAGCCTGTCTCCACAACTTCCAGGCGATGAAGCCGTATTTTTTATACTAACCTTTCTGTGAAACCATTGACTTTTATTCCCTGGAACAGGAGTGAGCTCTGTGTGCAGAAGAAGAACAGAGAGGAGCCTTCAGCTCGCTACCGCCCAAACCCACGTTTACCGCGCCCCAGGGCACACTGCTCCGTCAAGAAAACAATAGCGTCTCCTTCAAAACATTCCATGGGCCCTAGTTTTTGGCTGAGAGCATCGGCCTACAGACTGAAGGGTCACGGGTTCGATTCTGGTCAAGGGCATGTACCTTGGTTGCAGGCTTGGTCCCCAGCCCCAGTCGGGCGCATGCAGGAGGCAACCAATTGATGAGTCACTCTCACATCGATGTTTCTCTCTCTCTCTCTGTCTCTCCCCTCCCTTCTATTCTCTCTACAAATCAATGGAAAAAAATATCCTTGGGAGAGAATTAAACAAAAAAGACCCCCCCCCCCCAAAAAAAAGCCTCCACGTGAACACCAGGAGCCGGGGGCGAGCTGCCGTCAGTGCCCTCTGAGAGCTCACGTGATAAAAGATCTCTCAACATGCACATCTGTGTCTTCTCACAAGCTTCTTTGGAGGGGGAGCCAGCTCTGGGTCACTGATCCCACCAGTCCTATAGGAACACGGGAATCTGAGTGCTGCATTTAAAACAACACACCGCCCCAGGCGCCTGCACCCCTGCGGGCCTGTGGTCTCAGCACTCAGGCGCTGCAGCCTGACTGCCCTCTGGTTGCTGGCAGGAGCCACTGCCCACACCCAGCAGTCCCTGCCCAAACCCAGGGCCACTGCCCACGCCCAGGAGCCCTTGTCCAAGCCCAGGAGCTCATGCCCAAACCCAGGGCCACTGCCCACACCCAGGAGCCCCTGCCCAAGCCCAGGAGTCTGGCATTAAGTGCCGAGCAGGGCGAGTGAGGGCCCAGCCAGGTCCTTCACTGCCGCTTGCACTAGTTAAAAAGCAAACCTGCTCCCTTAATGAAGCAAGGCCTCCCCGCCCCTGCCCTGGCAGACGGGAGCAGGTGGGGGGTGGCGGGCCTCCCTGAGCGGGTCTCTCAGTGCCAGGCCCACGGCCATCTCAGGCACGGCAGGACCATCATTAGACGTGGCACTTTGCTGATTCCCTCCTGCCTGTTTGTGCCTGTTTCCACTCTGCGCTTCCTAAAAGCCAACATTATACCTGCCCATCTCCAAACCCCCAGCACAGCGCAGAGGGCCAGCCACGTGAGGGCCGAGATGTTTGCTGGAAAGTAACTGCCTGGGCTCCAGCCCCGCCCGCTCCCCCTGCAGTCTCCGGCCCCCTTCCTTCCCAGGGGTCTCCTCCCTCCCCTGGCGCATCCTCCCTGGATGCCTGGCCCACGGGATCGGGTGGCACTGGCGCTCCGTGTCTCCGAGGCTCCGTCATCAAAAGCAGAGACGCGAGGGCTCTCGTTCTCAGGCTCCTGCTCTGGGAGACGTCACCCGCGAGGCACGTGGATGCACCAGTCCCTGTGGAGAGGCCTCTGTGGAGTGGAACCAGGTCTCGCATCAACAGCAGCACCAGCTCGCCCGCCAGTGAGTGCGCCACCTTGAAGTGACCTCGGAATCCCAGTCCATCCCGCCGTGGCTGCAGCCCTGGCACTGTCCGAGCGCAGCCTTCTGAGACACCTGAGCCGGACCACCCAGCGCCATTCCCAGGTTCCAGACACACAGAAAAGGTGAGAGGCTGTGCGTGCTGGCGCTAACCACTGCACGCTGGGGCAGTTTGTCAGACAGCAACAGGCAACGGACGGAGCAACCTGGGAGGGTTTCGGTGTGTTTCATAAGGGAGTTCCAGGGGTTTTCCTAATGACGAAGTTATTTAATAGTTATGCCGCGCTTACAATACAAACTTCAAATTCGTATTCTACAAATACAACTATGCCACGGGTGATGAATATGCAACTTTAAATATTCTATTTTACCTTAAATCTAACAGCTCCACCAACAAATACTGAGCTGTGATATAGAATGATATCCAATCCTTTTTAGAGGTTGTTTTTTGGTTTTTAAAAATTATACTTACATGTGCAGAGAAAACAGTCTAGAACAATATCCATCAAAACCTTAACAATTTTCTCTGGGTGAAAGTCTTATTTCTTTTTCTTTTTTGTTCTCATTTTTCCAAAAACCTAAGATAATGCATATATTACTAGTGTCCTATTTCTAATTAAAAATGTTTATAATCCAATCAGGCAGCAGCGAAGTCTTCTTGGTGTTTCTGTCCTGATGTCTGCACAGTGAGTGGCACATCGCAGGTGCCCCATGAAAGTGCCTGAATGGCCTTCAGCTACAGACCCTGACCCCGGGGCAGCAGTCCCACACAGGCTTTCCAGGATAATGTGAGCCCAGAAAGCCCCATGATGTGAAAAGGTGACAGTCAATTCCACAGGAAACAGGCTCCCAAGTATAGGAAATCATTTCAAAGTCATATTCTTAGGACACGGCAACCACTTTTCTCTTTGAAACGGGGTATTTGAGTGATTCATTATAAATGTATAATGACAGTTGTAAGCACCTCTTTTTGCTGGCATGAGAACAGAGTCTGTTGATTGCCTTGGTGCTTAAAATAGATTCCAAGTGTCCTCATAATAGCATGTCACCTGTAAGCAGGTTTCAAGCCAATGCAAATGAACAAATGCTGAACAGATGGACTGAGCACGGACTTTTGTCAAGAGAGAGCTAGCAACACACACGTTTTGGCTCCAGTCTGACGGGACCATTAGAAAACCTCTCACTCTCGCCAGAGTCTTGCCTCAGTAGACAATCCACGCGGAGAAAATGACAAGTTACAAGGCCCATTAGACTTCTGAGAGCTGGAAGCTGAGATTTAGTTATTTAAGTTATTATATATTTATTATTTTTTGTTGCTGTTAATCCTCACCCAAGGATATTTTTCCACTGGTTTTTAGAGAGAGTGGAAAAGAAGGTGAGAGACACAGAGAGAGAAACATCGATGTGAGAGAGACATATCGATTGGTTGCCTCCTGCACGCGGCCGACCAGAGCCGGGGATCGAGCCTGCAGCCAAGGTTGGAAGTTGAGATTTCCAGAATCACCACCTCAACACATGAGGACAAAAGACAGAGTCACATGCCTAAGAAGCTCTCTGCCCATAGTTAACACTGTCTCGCGTCACTCAAAGAGGTGGCCCCTGTCGTGGGAAAATATGGCACCTGTGCCTGCAGCAGGCGCACACTAACCTGCGGGAGGCCAGCTGGTTCTGTCACTCTATCCTGGAAGCAAATGTTAATTGTGAAGAAAACCTGAAGATCACCAAGATGTGGTCCACGGTGTCCGCACGAGAGGGAAGGTCCCCGTCGCCCTGTCACCCCCCAGCTCCACACTGGCCTTTCTCCTCTTCACTCTCCAAGCTTCCCCCACGTCCACTCCCACCACCCTCCATGCTCCCTTCCTAAGCGCCAGTCATAACCAGAAATGGCGGCACCACTGAATTTATTCATGTGTTTAAGGGTTCCCTTTTGTTGGCCTTTTCCCCCAGTAAACGAAAAGCTCCAGGAAGATGGGACCACATCTGTCTTCTCCGGATTTTATCCCCAGAGCCTAGGACAGTGCCTGGCAGGTAGCAAGCACAATAAGTGTTTGCTAATCAAACAGAAAGTAAATGAAGGCAAACACCTGAGTTTCATCTGCAAACACTCTTCTGGACCGGACATTTTTAAGTCAGTTGGTAACTAAGGATGTAAATGAAATAACTGCAGGGCAGGATGAGCCGGGGAATGTGTTTCAAGTCCAAGTCCAGCCTTGAAGAGGACTGCCCCTCTCGGGAGGGCACGTTCTGACAGGAAAGCTACCAGCAAAGACTTGTGTCCACATTTCTGATCCCACATCACCGAGTGAGCCTGCGTCCCCACCTAGGGGCTCCTGGTACAACAGGGAAGTGAATGAGCCACCTGTGGCATTTTGGAAGGAATACTACCCCGTTACAAAATGAACCAAAAAAAGCTGATACGAAATATTACATATTGTGTGACCCGTCCAAATGAAGTTCAAGACCAGATACGTTCACGAGTGAGGTCGGATAGTTTTCCACTTGGGGAGGGAAGTGGCATGCATACAGACTGGGATCGGGCAGTGGTGGCCACCTGGATTGATCCGGCCAGAGCTACCTGGAGGTGTACATGTGTTAAACAATTACCAAGCTGCACACTTTGTGAGCTTTTTACAGTTCTCTCCTAGTGGAAAAAAGAAGAGCCATATATTCCTATTTAAGAAGAAAACAGGTGCCCAGCCGGTGTGGCTCAGTGGTTGAGCATCGAACCAGGCAGTCACAGTTCAATTCCCAGTCAGAGCACATGCCCAGGTTGCGGGATCGATCCCCAGTGGCGGATGTGGAGGAGGCAACCAGTCAGTGATTCTCTCTCATCATTGATGTTTCTATCTCTCTCTCCCTCTCACTTCCTCTCTGAAATCAATAAAAATATATTTAAGATAAAAGGAAAGAAAAAGAAGAAAACAGGTGAGCCTAGTGCCCATTCTAGCGGCAGCCCCAGCAGGTGGCTAGGCAGCCGTAGCCTTCAAAATGTGCTCCTGGCTGGCTGGCCACTTACCCTGTGCCGACTGTGGAAATGGGACAAGGACACAGAATCAGCTATGAGGAATCTTAAAATCCTACGTGAAAAAGTCACACACAAAACACATGCACTAAGAGCTGTATTTTAACTGCTTCAATTAAGATCTATGCAAAATATGTTAACTGTCTGCTGGGTTTCTAATTTTAACAGATACTATTTTAAGAGAAAAAAACAATCTCGCAAAAATAACTTTCAATTAGCCAAAACCAAGCACACACAGAGCTGGCCCAGGACAAAAGCCCTTGTTCTAGGGGTTACTCACTGAGGCGGCAGGACGAGCGTGGTGGGCTGCGCCTTGGGCCGGCGTTTCGCAGACACTCCCATCTGGTTAGCAGAGCGTTTCAGCGACTGTTGATTCAGAAGGCCGGATGCCAGGCCTGCATGGTACTGCAACTGCCCAGAAACAGAACAGGAGAAGGAGAATGACCCTGGGAAAGGCAGGGCGGGGGCATTCAACTAGCAACACCATCCATGTTACCCCTTCCGAACGTTTCAAGTCATTTCAAATACAGTGGCTGGCCGTTTGCTTCAAGGAATGCAGGGAGAGGGAGATAATCAGAGAATAGGAAAAGAAACACGAATGAGGTTGCTCGGCACAGCATTACACGATGAAGAACTGGAAACAATCTCAATACCCAACAATACCCGGGGAATTGGCTAGAATATTAAAAGAACTTTCTATCATTTTGCTGAATTGAAAAACAAACCAATAGCTTACATTTTAAACAGAGAGACACTCAAAACGATGCTCTCTAAATATTTATAGTGTGTTTCTAAGTGGTAAAATTAGAGTAATTTTTACTACTATTCATATATGCTTATGTAAATAGTTTTAAAACCAAGGTCATTCTTTATAAGAAGATCCATTCGTTCTTAAAGATTAATTAGTTCTGGGAACTCTTGCTACTGTCATGTCCTGCTGATACTAAAAGCCACATAACTCACTGTACTACAGCAAACCAGGGGCAGAAGACCACTTAGGAACAGATTCAAACATATCCGGAGTCCGGGTTCAGAAGGGCTGGGCAGTGTTCTCAGTGGTTAAGATACAATATCAACCATAATAAGTTCGGGAAGATATGGATACAATGGGCACAGGCTCCCTGGGGAGAGGGGATGAAGAAGTTACTCTCACGCCTCGCACACAAATGGATACAGCGGGTAAGGAAGAGGCGCACTGTGAACGGGCTCAGGGCCAGCTGCCTTTGCTTTGTTCTGGACAAACTGCTGAGCTGTGAGTTTACTTAGGAGATCATTTTACTTCTCTAGACCTTAATTTCTCTATTGGAAATGAGAAGTAATATTGCCTAATTCTAAACCAAACAGGACTTTAAAAAAATCCACACCGTTGAGCTATAACTTACATAAAATACAAAGTACATGTTAAGTGTCCAGTTTGATGAGTTTTGATATGTACGCATCTGTACAATTGCCACCCAAATCAAGACACAGACGTTTCCATCACTGCAGACACTTCCCTTGTGCTCAGTGCAATCTCCCAGCCCCCAACTCCTACCACCAGGATATTCTGATTTAAAGACAACTAATTCTCACTCGTTGACAAATGAAGCTTATATTCAATTTGACATGTGATATTGACTCCTATCTTCCTTTTAAAATCCCATACTTTTGTATTTTAGGTCCTAAGAGCTGTCATCAATCTGTCTATAATAAAATTATCCTTGAAAGGTATCCCAATTTTGAACAGATGTAAACAACACATTCAAATGAGAAAATGCCAACCTGAGAATTTGGACTGAGACTATTTATAACATCTAGTATGTTTCCTCCTCCTTTCTCAAATTAAGCAAGGTCTTTCAAACACTTATTTGGAATTAACTGAACGTACAAATAGTAACTCATTCTGAGTCACTGAATCAATTTCTTTTCAAAATGCTCTTCAAAGAATAGATTTCCTTTGCAGAGTCGGCTACGCGGCGTACAGCTCATGGTAATGAAACTGGTGCGCGCCGGCTGAAGGGGCTGGGCCCCGGATGCAAAGGGTAATAATGTTGGGAAAAAGAAACGGCCTCCCCTAAAGCCGCCGGCTGCACCCAGAGAATGAGAGAAAACCCAACCACACGAAAGGATCTGCTTCTTGCAAGTGGCTACGAAGATGAAGGCAGCCAGGCACCCAGCGAGCCTGAAACGTCTGTTTGGAGCATCCATATTGCTTTTTAACAGCCTCCTGATTTACGTGGTCGATTTGCTGCGGAGCCTTATGGCTGCACAATACAAGACAAAGATGTATCACATTCATAATAAAAATGGAGCTCCCCTCATGGTGGAAAAGGGGGGCATAATTTGGCTTTAACAACTCATCTTAGACCAATGAATTTTGCTCAAATTTGTTTTTCTCCTACAGAGTTCTTAAATGGGAAATCAATGGCAGCGAGGGACAGTACAAGTTTGAAAGACAATGTTTCAAAATGTCAGCTACTTGGGTTTCGATCCTTCCCACCAGAATCTGCAATGAGTGCAATATGCACGGGGCTTTATGGACTTAAAGGGAAAGACAGCTTGGCAGGGGTCCCCTCCTGGCTCAGGGCGGCGGCTCTCCTTGGCTCTCCTCCGCTCTGTACCTTGTCAGGGTCCGTGCAAGCTCAGCCATTCCGGCCCTGCTGACTCTCTGAGTGGGAGAGGCCTGCTAACTAGGCAGAGTGGCGGGGTGATTTTGCCCACCTGGCATCATTTCGATCATTTGCGCAAACAAACAAACAAAAGAAAAACAAAACAGCAGAAATGCATGCTGGCTGCTGGCTGTCTCTGGAAGGTTCCTTTGAAGCCTCTGCATCTTGGCCAGCCTCAAAGGACCCGGCACCCCGAAGGGCACATGTGGGTGGAAGGACTCCTCTCCCCAGAAAGCTGACTCACGGTGATTAGATGACATCTGTTAATCACGTACACTTCTCCCAGTTTCCAGGAACACCGCTCCAATGTCAAGATCTATAAGGGCCCCATTAAATATTTACTGAAGCATCTTTATAATGGGAGAAAGGGTCAAAGTTAATAAAACTGACAGGCAGCTCCTGTCCAACTGGATTTATACATTATTTAAGCCCTAAATACTCCATTCCACGAAACAGTTTAGATCTGCAAAGCTCCTGGAACACGTGCCTTGGCCAAAGGTTTTAAGCAGCAGAAGGAAGTGCAGCTAATCCACAAATAAACATTAAGAACACATCACTCTCCAAAAGTCCTGCCGTAAGTTTTCAATTACAGGTTCTGTAATATTTTCTATAAAAATGCACTTCAATAAACATCCTTTGCTCCAAATGTCCATGGCATGGAAACAACTGTTTCAAAAAGCAACTTATCGAAGTTCTAATGTGATTTTCCTACCCAAGGTCAGCTTTCCACTAACCAGCAAGAATAAAGTGGAAGAGGGAGAAAAATGCACTGATCTATTCTTTTAACTCCCAGATCTTACAGCTGTGAGGAGGAGTGTTTATGCGGCGGGGGTGGGGGATGGGGGGGGGGGGGCTTGCTAAGTGTAAGTTATCGCTCAGTGCTAAGCGATTTCGGTGTGCCCTGGATTTTGAGAGCAATTCTCTCAGTTCCAACTTGGCTGTCTATTAATGCCCGCCCCCTTTTTCCTCTGACGGACCTGGGATTTTCTGTCAGTTCCCAACCCGAAGCCCTTTCTAATCCATGTCTGCTAGTGACCCCTGGACCTGGGAAAATTTCAACAATTCATAGTGACCTGGGGAAACACCATTTAGAATTAGGAGAACCTCGACTTGGTGAATGGGTTTTAACTAAGGCTGTTTCTGTGATGTTTAACCTGCAAAGGTGCCAAGCGTTGCCAGGGGTCCTGATAAACCTAAGGGCCAGACAGAGAGCAGCGGGAGGAGAAATGACGCCTGGAAGCCCGCCGCCGGGCTCTGCCTCTAACCACAGCTGTGTCCACATTTCAGGACCCTCCCTACGGGCACAGTTACACCCTCCCCCTGACCCCCCCAGCTCTGGATTTCTAAAGAAGTTACATGGGCGTTTGGTTTCACCATTGTTCTAAAGCAGTGGTTCTCAACCTTCTGGCCCTTTAAATACAGTTCCTCATGTTGTGACCCAACCATAAAATTATTTTCGTGGCTACTGCATAACTGTCATGTTGCTACTGTTATGAATCGTCATGTAAATATCTGATCTGCAGGATGGTCTTAGGCGACCCCTGTGAAAGGGTCGTTCGAACGCCAAAGGGGTCGCGACCCACAGGTTGAGAACCGCTGTTCTAGAACCTCTTCAGCTTGCAGGCGACGGTCGGTCGGACTCACACCCACGCCCGACGCACAGGTTGAGAACCGCTGCTCTAAAGGCTTCTACCTGCTCCAAAATGGACAGAGGACATGCTTGCAGTGGGCAGCAGTTTGAGAAGAAACAGGGTTCTAAGGTCAGAGAAAGGCCCCAGAGGAGCCCCCCCCCGCCCCCCCGGAGGAGACGCCGGCCCAGGAGGTGACCGGCCCGGGTCACCCCTGGCTTAGGAAGGCGGGCCACTCGGCAGTCACCCGCAGGATGAGTGTGCCGCACCTTTCTACCTGGAGGAACGGCTGGCATGTGTCGTCTCTGCTCCAGCAACGAGACAGTGGCTCTTCCTCCACGGGGACCCCGACGCACAGGGGCCCCGCTGTGCCCGGGAGGCGGTGTGCCCATCACCACACTCGCTAGCCCCTGTCGCTCCCTCGCTCTGACCTCTTTAAGCGCTGACACGCCTGCTTTTCCTCCCTGACTCCAGCCACCACCAAAGTGGGGAGTTTGGGGCAGTCTCTATCCTACCATTTTAAGGTTTTAATATCATTCAAGGTAAAAAAAAAAAAAAAAAAATCATACCTCGGAGAAAGGAAATTATAGAAATGTCAATATTGTCAGAAAATCTAAATTCTAGACTCAGCAGTAACACATCAGCCTTTTCAGCAGCTCTGATCTGTGGTATGATGGGGCCATCATGCTAGTGCCCAGTGGGTTTACAAGTCCCTGTACTGTCCGAGAATCACGTGTGCAATCGGTTTCCACGCAGGGTCCTCTCTGGAAGTTTGTGTGACAGCCCAGGAGAGCGACGAGAAAGGACGCCATCCGTGCAGCCTCACCGGCCCTCAAACACGGAACCGAACAGCCAGAGCTGCTGGCCAAGGAACCTGCTCACAGCCCCAACCAAGGACAATGACACCTGCATCAAGTCACCGCGGGTGGCTGGGTGTGGGCCTGTGGCAGGTGGGGGGGTGGGGGGGGTGCTAGTCTGAGATTCTCACACAGTCCCATTCCCCCTAAACCATTCAACACCCCATCGCCACTCTGAGTGGCAGACCTTTGCCCTCATTGCTGAGTCTGTGTTGTTTGCAGCTAATGAGCGAGCACCATGTGTGCTGCTAAAGCGCTGCCTCTTCCTTTGAACGTGA